GTTAAATTATTATTGGGGAAATATATCATTAACATAATAAATTAAGAAAATTGTTTAATAATAAATAAATTTAATAAAACAGTTTATTGCATTAGTAAATGGGAAACAAATAATTTGAAATAATTATAAAGTAAACATAGGAAAAATTACAGATTCAAACTGAAAAAAACTAAAAAATTTGTTTAAAATACTATAACCTGAATACCATCTTCAAGGAAAATACCATAACATATGTGTTTATGATTTATTAATTATAATTTGATATTAAATGTCATATTGTTAAAATGATATTAGAAGAAATTTTTAATTATCTTCTTCAACCTTAGTACAACTTACTAGAGACTTTTCCGAGCTACATCCGGGTTATTTTACTATATTTTAATTTAATTTATTATAGAATATATATTTGACAATATATTTTACACTTAGACTGAATATGTTATATAAATTATTGGATAAATTTATATTTTTTTGTATTGTGTTTGGTGACTAAATTTTTGAAACTATTAAAATTCATTTTTTTCTTTCATTAATCAAAATACAAATAATTTGGTTAACAAATTGAATAAACATAAATTATAGCTAAATTTTGATTATTTTTTTTATCTCGTTTATTTATGAAAACATGATTAAATTAATGTTTTTTCAAACATTGTCTAGTGCACACAAAAAAAGTGCATCAAAAAAATTCAAACACTTTTTAACGTTAAAATCAACTAATGTATATTTTGGTGATTTAACTATTTATTATTTACTAATAATAAAATATATATGAATCGTTCTTAAGTGTTAAGGCAGTAGTGAAATGAAGAACAATTGAAACCTAAAAGTGAATTCATCACCATTCTGCTTGGGTTGGGTTGACTCATTTGACCCATTTTGACACCCCTAGTTCTAATTGATGAGTGTGTACATTAAAACAATCGTGAAATTATGTCAGATACTTTTGTTTCCATTCAGAAAAAAACTAAAAATGAACAATTTTCTTTTTTACAATATATAGATTTTTTTGTTTTTTTTAACAAAACTCTCATTTTATTTTTGGTATAAATAACATGCATAATAATTACTGTAATATTTTAATCTATAGTTTTTTATTTTCTATTTTCAAAATGTTGGAAAATAATCACTATAAAAATCTGAAAATTAAGTGTATAAAATTAATTTACTTTTATTTAAATTTAAAATGATACTATATAAATTTAACATTGTATATATTTTGTTGTTATGAATAATGTTTATTTATTCTATTTATTTATAAACTGGATGATATTAATTTATCCTTGTCATCAGTGTTTTGAATACCAAACCGAACATTGACTTGACATTGCAATTAGATAAATGGTCACACCGGTCCAACTGGGTTATAAATTTAATTTAAGTTTAGGTTAAGTATCTATATATATGTATAACTATAAAATTATTTTTATAAGAATTTTTATCATTGTTTGCAGTTAAAATGATATGGAAATAAAATGAAAACTTCAAAAATAATATAAAATATAATGAAAAATAATCTATTTAAATATATATTAAAAAATACAGGTTTTATGAAAGATTTTTTTTAAAAAATTGCAGCTCCAGCTCCATATGCTCCATATGCTCATTGGGGGAACAGCGGCTTCAATACGGAAGCCATTGTAGGTTCTGAAGTTCTTGCCGTTTTGTTCTCTGAGGGATCTAGAGGCGGAGAAGATTTCCTCTTTGTATTGCTTAGAGTTTGAGGGGGAGGAGAGAGCACAGCTTGAACACGCATAGTGATGGATTTCCTCTTCCAAGATGGTGGACGTTTCCTCGGAACTTTGCTGACACTTGGATTCCCGGAGACACGCCCTCCCGTAGAATCCTTATGCGCCATCGATATCTTTAGCTTTCTCAAAGTAATGATGATTGACAGTTTCAGATTTGAGCTTCCAAGATATCTAACTACTCCTTGCTAGCTGAAACATTTGACCACCATTTTGATGAATTCCTAAATGTAACAACCGAAACAACCTCTTCGAATTTCTCCAGAGCCAAAGCTGCTTCATGGTTCTTGAACTAATGTATCATTAAATTTATAAGCATATAAAGCTTCATCCATGGATCAAAACTCCAGTATATTTATCAATGTTTAAATGATATGTTGGGAGGGAAAGAAGTGGGTTTAAATAACATAGATGAAACAATAACAGTTTTTTTTTTTAAATAGAGGCAATGGGTTGCATACCAAAAGTGTAAGAAAATTGTTATTACCAGAAGTTATAGTTCAATTGGAAAAGACATTGGCCATTATGTTAGAAGTCCCGGTTCGAGTGACCCTTAAGACAATGCCTACGATCCATGCCAACCACATGGCTGAGACAAAAATGCCGAGGCGACCAGTACAGTCGGCTGAGACAATGAATATGATCCCAAGTCCACTGTATCGTGTACTTACAAAGATAAATCATCTCAACTTACAGCCCAAAATTTTGGATATGATGTCTTCTTCCTATTTCTAGTGGTTCTTCACTTATTTATTGAAAACTATGTTAAAATAGTTTCTAAGAATTTTGTTTGATCATAAAATAGCATATACAAAGATAATCAAAATAAAATTTATTAAAAGGTTTAAAGACATATTTTTAAGATTAATTGGTTAAAAACTAAACTTTGGGGGGGGGGGTTGTAGCCTAAAATAATTTATAATATAAAATTTAAAATAATAATATTCAAATAAATATTAAAAAATATTTAAACTATTCATTAATGATATTTAATCTTTTTAAAATAAAATTTAAGTATTACTTTTTATACTACTTTTATGATAAAAAAATTTAAAGTGTTTTGAAGGAGAATTAATTTTATTTATATTTAACATAATCATGAAAATAGGTACATAACCTATTCAATTTTTTAAACTATTAAAAGGAAAGCAAATCTTTTGGTTAAGTTAAAACGAAGAATAGAAAAAAAAAATAATATAACTAGATTTGAACCCGGATATACGTACAGATATATGTTTATTTTTAAAATAATATTTAAACTATAGAATCAGTTAAAGATATATATTTAATATCAATTTTTAAGTATATGAAAAATTGTATCTGTTGAAAATTTTTTTGATGAAATTTAACTAATCATATATTAATCACTTATTTTGTTTATTCATTTGAAAATGCAATATCATATCAATAGTTTAATATTAAACATTTGTTTTATATGAATTATTACAAATTTTATTAATTTTTGTTTAAATTTTTTTATTCTCGAAATGTGTGTATGTGACCAAATTAAATTATTTAAAAAATATTTTTAAAATATTATATTATTTACTATATTATATTTCATTTTGGTGTTTTTAGTTTTACAACAAAAATCAAACAAAAATGTAACAAACAATAAATTATTATAGATTTTGTTTCATCTCTTGAGTTTGGGTCCTGAGCCCATTAAGTTTAAAAGATGTTTTTCATCACCTAAGCTCTTCTGTTTCTCAGCCCATTTGGTGCAAGAGGCTGGTCCGTTTGACTAGTCTTCGAAAAATATGAAAAATTCTTGGGTTCACGTTCAGTCTAGGGCTCTACAGGTGAATGTTCACCATCCAATAGAATTGCATGATTTCATATTTGATATCTTATTAAAAATAAAATAAAATCTTGTTAATTTATATTATGTTTTTAAAAGTAAAAATACAAAAATAAATAAAAATAATAATTAATAAAAACGAAAATCAGTCTTCTTAAAGAAAATATTTTAACACTAAATCCTAAACTCTAATCCTAAAGCCTAAACCCCTGGGTAAATCATAAACCTTTGGATAATCTTATAGTGTTTTACAAATTTAGTGTTTATGATTTACCCAAGGGTTTAATTAGGGTTTAGGATTAATGTTTAGGGTTTAGTGTTTATGATTTATCAAGGGTTTAGGGTTTAGGAATAGAGTTTAGGGCTTAGGGTTAAAATAATTTTGTAAAAAGAATTTTTTATAAAATTTATCCAAAGGTTTATGATCTACCCAGAGGTTTAGGGTTTATGATTAGGGTTTAGGGTTTAGTGCTAAAATATTTTCTTTAAAAAGAATTATTTTCGTTATTATTAATTATTATTATTTTTTATTTATTTTTGTATTTCTATTTTTAAAAACATAATATAATTTAACAAGATTTTATTTTATTTTTTAAAAGATACCAAATATGAAATAATACAATCTTTCTGGATGGTGAATCTAGAGGTTCACCTTAAGGGCTAAAGGGTGAACCCAAGAATAAGTCGAAAAATATCGGGTGAATTCACCGAAACAATATGCTTTGAAGAGTAGATATTTCTCCTCTTTACCGGTGGGTTCACCGGAGTCATCATCATCGTCACCATCTCTCTATTTCCACCATCACCAGCTGCCTTCTACATGAGAAGTGCTTCCCTTTTGCCAAAAGAAAAGGAGTCTATCCATATCTATAGCAGTTTTTCTATCTTGTGTAATGGTTTGTATGGAGCTAGAAGATGCAACGGATCTCGTTTCAACGAAAATTATAGGTACGGATTAGGTATCAACATCACGATTTAATGAAACTAAGTTTTAACTTTATGGCAATATGGCATCACCGTGAATCTTTTGATGCATCTGCCCTTTGCTATGGATTCGCTGTCATTTCTATCTTAGTAACTTTTCTACTATTAGTTTTTATGGTTTATGTCCTTATGCTTGTAGGGCTATGATGAATTCAGTTCTCCTTGTAAGTCGGATTGGGTAAAACTAATGAAAGTTTGTGTTACAAAGAATAAAAATGTTCATCCAGCCTATGTAGTGGAAGAGACATGACAAGCTCCACATATTATCGATGTCACAGAAAATGCATTTATCAATGTTAACTTCCCGTCGAATGGCAAGGATTGTCTTTAGACAAGAGCACAACAAATGAGACGTAATTGTAAATATAAAGACAAAGAAAAAAAAAATCACACGTAGCATATATTATAGGAAAGAAAACATTGTATGTTGTGAAAAAAAACATGAACAGTCTATGACTATCCAATCCTTACAACATGAGACGTACAAGTGCTAATGCTGAAGCTTTTATGACAGCAACAAATATACCCTCAAATATTTTGTCTCCTGTAAAAGAAGAGTAAACTATATGAAATGGTATTTTATGATATTAAAAACGTACTTTGGGGAAATATTATACGCTTACCTTTTATAACACCAGAACTTGGGTCGTCCCCGTTATGTTTTTTTTCAAAAGAAGGGACGTCCGCGTTCGATGATGTGTTAAACCTGACGAGACATTTAGGAAGGAAGTTGAGAGCTGAACGAGACCGGCTGCAACATTCCAATAGTTTTTCGACCGCAAGTCTCAAGCAGACGGTGCAGTTTCCTGGATCAAGATCAGGACTACACTGGACCAGCGAGTCTACTGTATACGTGCTACCTAACTCAGTCACATGTTGTTGATCCTGAGAGAAATATGGGTTCGGCCACAAAGTCGTGGACGCGGCTCTGGTGATAAGTTTGTTCATCTTATCAGGAAGTGTTTCACCGAACCGACTCGTGGTAGGAAAATCAGTGGTAGAGGGTAGTAAGGCATTAGGCCCGTCTAGTTCTTGAAGTCCAAAGAAGGAATAATCCGAGTAACGGACCATACACTGTTCATAAAATATGAAAGCTTCTTTTTGAGAAGTGCATCTTTTAGATATTTCGGTAATTGCGGTCCGGACACAGACCCCGCAGGTTGATTTGGTGATGTCTACTCTGCAATGGTACATACCATAGACTGTGTCGGGGCTAAGACCCTTCGTGACGCTGAGGTAGGGTGGCGCAGGGGAAGTACCGCGGAGATATTTGAGGGCGGAACGAAGGTTTGAATCATAAGAGCTGTCCTCTACAAAACTGTTAGATCGGTTGTTGCAGAAGGTGAGCAAGTGATTAACTCGAGGCTGGGAGATAGTTTGGAGAGATAAAAAAGACAAGAAGAAGAGAAAGGAAAACCAAAACAGAGCCGGAGAAAATAAAATGGTTGTTGCCATTTTTGTACTCTCTTGTCGTTTATTATGAAGACGGAAACAAAGCACACAACATATCAGAATTTGTAGGAGATATTTATGTTCTGAAACATTCAATATAGTGCCCAGTATGTAACGTCTTCTACCAATTCATGAGAGCATGTTATGCGTGTAGATTTAGATCATGAATGTGAGGCTTTTATCAATGTCAACTCAAGACATATTCTTGTACATAAAAAAAAATCATATTTCATTTACTTTTTCTATAAACAAATTAAACTAAGACAAACATACAGTTGACGCAACATCGGTTTTGTTAGCGTCCGGAGCTATGTAATACATCCACTTGTTCAGTTTGTTCTATATAGCAATGTGGAAGACACGATTAATCAGTCTCCCTAATAAATGATAACAAGGAAGGTCCAAGGTTGGACCATCTCCCTTTCACTTATTGGTTTTGTTTATTTTGCTAAAAATGTGATGATATAAGTGTTTTAGAGTCAATTTATTATGTTTTGTAGTCTTTTTAGAATATTTACAAGTTAAGATATGTTTTTGTAAAGTTAAAAAAAAAAGATATGTTTTTGTAGCAAAGTGGTGATTTTAGAGCATTTTGAAGATAAAGATAGAAGAAACTCATAGTTGTTCATTGAACCAGCCAGTGTCGACATCCGAGACGAATGTCGATCAATATACACCTCTTGTCGTTGATTGACAGCAAAGACATAATTTGATTCCAGACCAATTTAAGCCCAAGGTCCTGCATAATTACAAGACTATCTCTGACGAGTTTAACCTAATATTAATATTATAATTTTAAAAAGAGTTGGGATATACTATTTAATTTTAATATTAATTACTGAAATACTATATATATATATATATATATATATATTTGGTCTAGATTAAATACGATAAACAATAAAAATTAATAGCATAATGAAAATATATTTGGCTTTTTTAGGAATCTTATTGTTTAGATATATATTGTTTATTTGTTTCTGTTAAGAAAATATCAGATATCAATAAATTTAGGATATTTAGTTAAGTTTCCAATTAATGATCTAATATAGATTTTTGTATGGTAGATAAAAATATGACTCTAAATTAAAATATAACCCGGCCGGAAGCACTTGCGTGCATAGCTTCCTCGCAGGGCCGGTACTGGCCATTTTAAACAAAAAGTAAAATTTGAATGTATTTTTAAAAACTTTTATTGCAGATCTTCTATTATATTAAAAGAGAAGTCATAATTTCTCTTCATCCCGATGCAGGATCATGGGGACTTTCAGAGGGTAGTTGTGGGCCCTCTTCGAGCCATATGGGCTCGTGTATCGAGACCTCCTTGTAGGACCAGGAGGAGTGTCAGAGCCAGCTCGCCATCAGCTGCAGGACCATCTCGCCGTGCTGCTTCACCAGGAGATGAAGAGGAGACCGATGAGGACACCGACTAGTCCTCACATTTCTATCCCTTCTTCTTATGAACGGTTTTCTTTTATTTTATTGCATGTCTTTGGATTTTTAGGATTTATGTTTAGACATATTATGCATTATATTTTGGGATTGTTTTCTTATCTCTCATCCGTGTTTGGAATGGCTAACAGAGCTAGCAAATGTTTTCTTATGAAGCATTTCTGTCCCATTGACATCGATCAATACCATCCTCACATCATCGATCGATGCCTTTGTGGCCTTATCGTATCGATCGATTCAGGAGAAATGGAGGTACGAAACACTGACTTAACTTTTCATTATCTAACCTCTTCTTTAGCTATTTTATAAACCAATCTTAGACGTGTTACACTAGAACAGTGTAATTTAAGTCTGGGGGAGGTAGTTGCTAACGTTATATTTTCTTGAAGTTTAAAATATATATATATATAACAAAAAGTTATAATAAAATGAAATTTTATTGAGAAAGGGATTATGATCGATTTAAATTTCTGCTTATTATCTGACCACTTATTAGCACCATTCTTAGATTTGTTGATAGCAAAATATACTAGAGATACTAAAGTAGATCATCGTGCCATTACATCACACTTGCTTAGAAAGTTTGAAGGAATCAAAGCTTACGTCCAACCCTAATTTGACTGATTTGCTTGCTTGGGGGCTTGGTATACATTGGATCGGATTCCTCTTTCAGGTCTGAAAAGTATGAGTCTGTAATTTTTTGGTTTCATTCTCTCCTCTCTTCAGCATCTATTAGAAAAGAAAAAAATATTGATATGATTTCCTGTGGTTTAGAGGGGTAGGTAAATTACCTGTGATCCCATTATTCTACTCTAATGGAATGATCAAACATCGTTGGAAACAAGAGATAGGTAAATTACCTGAGACCTCATTATTCCCCTACACTTTGTCAAGAGAAAAAGTTACAAGTCTCAAAGAATCAATAAGATGAACAAGATAGAATACATTAGTACTTGTCTTTGTTCATTGGCATTGAATTAGAAAAAGATTCAGATAAGAGAGAAATAGGGAGAAAAGAAACCAGAATATGACCACCTTTTTACTCAGATACCTGGTGGAGCAAAAATCCAAATATCCTCTGCTTGATACTCCCTAGGTAAAGACTGCACTTTATTTTATGTATTAAATGGGGTTAGTAGAGGGGTGAGTCAAGCTAGTATTTGCTAAGTTGCTGGTAGAATGGATTTGGTTGCTAAACTAGGATAATGTATATAAAGTATTTTTGAGGTTGACACTTATTTGATGTGGTTGCAACATTGTAGTGGTGGTGATTCTAAGTTTAAAATTTTGTGAGTCTCTGTTATTTTTTCAAAACCTCTTTCAAAAAGATTACATGTTTGTTTTGCTCGAGGTTAAGCAAAAGAGTAAGTCTGGGGGTGTTGATATGTCATGGATTTTACCCAATTTCAACCATGATCTAAATTTGTTTTTAAGACATTTTATAGGCTTTGGAGTCTTTTTAGAGAAATTACAGGTTCATGTACCTATTTGAAGAAAATTGTGTTTTTTGTGACATTTTGGAGACTTTGAGAGAGATTCTGCCGAGATGAAGAATCGATCAACGTTAAAGAGCCATATCGATTGATGACTACCAATTATAATCGATCGACGCAAGTCCATTTCCATCAATCGACGCCGAAGCCATCCGAGACTTAATGATAAATTAGAAGACTTCAAGTTTCACAAAAGTTCAATTAATTACACCTTAACTCCATGGCCGCCTGTAGGCTATATTACTAGGGTTTTATATCATTTTAGAGGCAGACTTGCCTAGAGACCTTCTAGACCTAGTTTGGAGAAGGAAACTTGTTTACTATTGAAGTAAGGGTGCTTAGGATATTGGAGAGACAGATCTGATACTACAAAACATAGAAGATCTTGAACTCCCTTGCTTCTATTACTCTTATTTACTTTGTTTCTTGTTTTCATATGAGTATTATTCACACTATCATAACCTTGTCTCTTATGAATATGTCTGAGTAATCTCATTTGTTAGATTTAGGTTTCTCATAAGGGTGATTTATGTATTGAATATATGACTACTGTTAAGGTGTTTAAATTAGTTTTACAACCTAGTTATACTAATGCTAAATTTAGGATTGATCACCCTTAAATTTAGATCTTAGGATTCATTGAGATAAACATTAATTTCCTCAATAGGTGAACCTAACTAGATTTATCTAACTGACAAGATTAACACGAAAGTTGGTATAGTGAGTTAGAGAAGAACACTAACCCACTCGCAAAGCTTGATAGAAGAGCCGTCGATCAACGCGACTATCGTTGTGTCGATCGATATCTTGAAAGGTGTATCGATCAATGCGCTTAAAGGTAAATCGATCGGCATTTTCCTGTGATCAATAAACAACAGTTGAGATCCGAGATCTAGACAAAGGAAACCTCATTGGTTTCATTTATAAGTTTGAGTTCATGAACAATAAAACCCTTAAAGTCAATTATAATTTACATATTTTTCACAACTATCATGTTCACCTCATTTATTTACTGTTTTAAACCATTTTAAACAAATTTTCAGTTTAACTTTATTTTAAATACCATAATCTATTGTGTGATCCTAGAGTTTCTGTGGATTTGATCACTAAGCACTGCAACTGAACATCTTATTTGAGAGAGTAATTCACTTCTTATTGTAATTTGAGTGATATTAGCTATAAACAATTATAAAACATCATATATTTTTTTTATTTTTGATTTTATATTAAACATTAATTAATATGAATTTAAACTCATAATAGATTATTAATTACGAAATTATTTGATGATTTATTAATAAAAAAATTTAAAAAGTTAAGTAAGATTTTTTAGCTTCTCTATAAACAGAGTTTAATATAACTAATAATAAAATTTAAATTTATAATTAAAACTAATTTATTATTAATTATTATGTCATATTAAGTAACTAATAAAATAAATCTACTATGACTTTTGTATAGTACATAAAAAGTGACTCTATTTTAATATATTAAATGATTTTTTTATTTCTAATTTTTTTTTTCAAATTTTAATTCATTATAATATTAAATAAATATTTATTATAATATAAATTAATTATATGCGTTTAACATGTTTCACACTTGACAAATATTTACATTTTTATGAAATAAACTGTAATTATAAATCATAATATATAATTCAATATACTATATAATCAAATAATATTCATGTCATATAAATTTAATATTGTATTTTCTAAAATTCAAATATATTAAATTATATTAAAATATGTTAATTTAGAAATTATATTAAATATAAAACTATTTATTCTTTTAAATTTTTTTTTTAATACTTTGCATTAATAGATTGAAATATGTTGTAAACTGTAAAATATATGTTATCATGCATATCTAATTTTTTAATTTATAAATTTGTAAAATAGTTGTAATTAAGTTATGTTATATATATTCTTTATTTTAAGTAATTTAATTATGAATATAAATTATGTATTTATAAATATTATAGAAATGTTATTTTATTTAATAAACCAAAATAAATTAATATTAATTTGTAATATAAGAGATAAATAATTACGA